CGCGCTCAGTGGAGTCGCGGGAGTCCGGCGGAGCCCGGCGCCGCCCGGGGTCCTTGCTTGGGGCAGAAGTCCAGCCTCTGAGACCACGGGGGGCTGCACAGGGCGTCGGGCGAGGAGGGCAAGTTTCCTAGCCGGGAAGCGAGCTTTGAAGTCCGCTCGAGGACTGCCCGGCGGCAGAGTGGGAAGGGAGGGGGGCGCTTCTGATCGCCCGGTGCCCTATTTTTCTCCGGAGGAAATAAGGTCAGGTACTTGGAACCGGGCTGGTCAAGTAACTCAGAAGTCTTTTTCCTTTATTTCTTTTCTGCCCCCCGCCCCCATCAGTTGACACACACTTGAAACTAGCTGCAGTTGGTTTTTTGCAGGTTAGAGGTGGGTGCGGGGGCGCCAGGGTGTCAGAAAAGGACTTTTCTCTGAAGTCCGGGAGGAAACAATTGAACTTAACCCTGCTCCTGGGTGAGGCTTTCGCGTCTTACCAGCAGAAGGCTGGAGCAATCACGTTCGTTCTTTGTGCTGTTTTCAAGAAGTAACTGCAGCAAAGGTGCGCTCGGCCCCGGGGCGGGAGTCGGCCCCGGGGCTTGCCGGGCGAGGTGACAGTAGCTGCCGGGGAGAGCTTGGAGCTGCTGCCGCGCATTGGACGGGCTCCGCAGCACGCGCTCGGCTCCGCTTTTCCACCGCCGGTGCCAGGGTCTGTGCTCTTTGACCGGCTCGCGCGTGCTTACTCATCCTTCGCCGCCGCTCCCTCGAGTGCTGGGGGGTAGGGGGGCTTCGGAGGAGGGAGAGGCTTGTTTGGGACGTGGGGTGTCAAGAGGGGTGATTCCTGTGATGTGGCACCAAGTTAGAGGGGGAGGGGGATGGCAGACGACAGCCTAGCAGCTGGGTCCTTGAAGTAACGGTGCATCCAGTCGAGCCTTTTAATGTTCCTGACAACCCACCTCCCACGTGCCAGCGTGGACCCTGACTCAGCCTTCACGGGGGTCGCCCTGCGGTTGCCTCCCTGTTCTCTTAGTTTCACCTCTGCATTTTTTGGAGAGGACAAGTCTTGCTCTTGTCTGATCTGATACAGTGCCAGCTAATTGCAAGTAACAGGCCCTGAACGAGGTCGGGTTACAGGTGACAAGTACCTGGGCTGCCAGATTTCAAGTAAGTGTTCTGGAGTTCGTTCCTTTACCGCTTGTAAAATCTGAAATAAAGATTCTTTAGTGAGAAACTGTTTTTGCCTCCGATTGGTAAAGAAGTTCCTTTTGTCTGCTGCCGTTCTTTGTCTTCCTTAGAATCACCATCCTCTTGAGCAAGGTGTGACCCAGCCATCCCTTTGCCTTTTCTTCACTTTTATTTTAAACTGTTTGTCAGGAGCTGTGCTAACTTAGCCTGCAGAGAGAGAACACAGTAACTTACAACCTATTTTATGTGCTCTCTGTGGCATAATTCTGTAACCTCCCTTTTTCCATACTCATTTCAAGCATAGTGGGATTAATGCAAAAGACCTTTTGGAGAGGTTACATTACTCCCCAAGAAATTTGATTTACTTTTTGTTTTGAGCCAGGGTCTCCATATGTAGTTCAGACTGTCTTTGAACTCATTATGTAGCCCAGGCTGGCCTTGATCTCGTAGAGACCCTCCTGCTTCAACTTCCCAAGTACCGGGGTTGCAGGCCTGCGCTTCCACGCCCGGCTCCCGGAGAAATTTGAGTGTGTGTGTGTCCAGATCATGGTACTTCGTGATGCCAAGCCGTTGGTCATGTTGACTGGCAGTAAATCATTGTAGAAATAGGTTCATCTGAACCGCATCTTTTCTGAAAGTTGTTGATTTAAGTGTTCTATGTCAGTTTGACTGGAATATTTGTTATTGTGACTCATGCCACAAAAGTTAAAAGTTTGCCTTTCCTTAAATCTACAAAATGCCATACTTGTTTTACTTTCACATTTTGTGTGTTTTTGGAAACATTGATAGAACTAATAATAGGAAAATATAATTCTATGGTAATTTATACAACTTTTTCCCCCAAGTTCTTTCTGTGTCATTGAAAGTGTTAAAGCTTTTAAGGACACGTCACCTTGGGGAAGTGCTGTGTGCGCATTGTTTTTGTGGTGGCCACACGTACCAGTTCGCGCGTTTTCTTCTGTTCGCACAGAGCCCAGTGGTCTCGCTGTGAGAGATTACTGCATTGAATGATTAAAGTAGCGACCAGTAAGCGGCCTGCGATCTAGTGTGCGCTCCTGGGAGTCTTAGAGGCCTTGGGTAATCTAGTTTACCACTAGACCATAATCAGAAGCTTACTCGTAATATATAAGCTGCTTACATATGGTTAACAAGGGGAGCCTGAGCGATAATCAGAAAATGAAGCAGCTGTGTGGCTCGGAAAAGGCAACTCAGCAAAAGTACTCAGGTGATTGATTACCTTGTCGGGATGCGTAGCTAGTGCTGGGGTGCTTGATTGGGGAAAATGTCATTAGCTATTCGGTCATTCCCGGTAGAACACCACCAAATTGTATTCTATTTTTAAATTATCCTGTCCTCATCTGACACATTCCACTGGGAAATTGAAAGGTAAAAATATACTCGCCATGTATAGAATCTGTCCGGGTGTGAAATTGCATCTGTAGAGACTTAGAACATTTTGATCACTGTGTACCTGTGGGTGGGGTGATGCTACAGTGGCTACTTTGTGTTGAAGCTGAAAGTTATTTTTTTCAATCTCAGTCATCATTTTGTACCAGAGAACAATCAGAGCTCACCTTGTGGTTATGGCATTCCAGTGCCATATGTCACGTTGATGTCTGCTGATTGTATCTGCTCATGCACAGCCCCAGAAAGAAAACCCACGCTCAACCGCACGCTCATTAGCAGCCCTCCCGCTCTTCCCTCCCCCCCCACCACCCTAAGCCCCTGGAAGCCGGTAATCTGCTTTGTTTCTCTAGGGTGATTTATTCTGGACTTCCCTTCCAGTTGAACTGTATTTGTGTTGTGACCGGCTTCTTCCACTAAGCGTGATGTCTCCAGGCTTCATCCACTTTGTAGCATGCGTCAGTGCTTATTCCTGTTTATGGCTAAATAATATTCCGTGTGTGAGTTCGCTATATTTTGTTCCTTCATCAGTTAGGTATGTGAGTTGGGTCTGTTTTTTGCAGAACAGACTGCCACGAGTGTCCCTGTACAAACTCTTACATAGGTGTGTTTTCATTTCTCTCAGCTGTATTCTGAGTGGAGCTGCTTGGTCATACAGTAGCTCTCTTTAACATTTTCAGACACTGTCAAACTTTTCCAAAGCAGCTGCCCCATTTTACATTCCAGCCAACAGGATATGAGGGTTTAATTTTTTTCCCACACCCTCACCACTGACTTACTGTAATTTGGTCCTTTGGTTTTAGCTGCTCTAGTGGGCGTGAGTACTATCATGTCTGATTTGCAAATAATTTCTTCTGTCTGGCTTGTCTTGTCTTGTGTTTTCCTTTTTAGTCTGGGGCTCCAACCCAGGGCCTCACCACATGCTACATTCCCAGGCCCTTTTCATTTTTGTGATGGTGTCCTTAGAAACAAGAAGTTAATAATTTTGAAGTCTATTTCATGTTTTTTTTTGTTGCTTGTGCTTTGGTGTCAATCTAGCAAGCCACTGCCTAATCCAAGACCATGTGGGTTTATTACGGTTTTGTTTCAGAGGTTAGCACTCCATTGTTGCCTTTTCCTGTGCCGTACCAGGGGTTGAACCCAGGGCCTTCACACTGAGCTGGGTCCCCGGCCCTCACGCTTTTTACAGTTCTGAGACAGGGTCTCTCGAAGCTGCCCAGTTGCTCTAGCTGGGCTGGGACTTGTAATCCTCCTGTCTCCGCCTCCCAGAGTGCTGAGATTACAGGCGTGGACCTCCATGCCTGCCTACTCTTGCACTTACATTTAGCTGTCTGATTGTTGGGAATTAGTAGTGTGAGGGAGGGGTACGTATTTATTCTTCTGCACACGTCCCGGTTCATTGTGTTGCAAGGCTGTTTCTTCATTGAATTCTTCTGTGGGAAATCAGATGACCGTGGATTTAAGGACTTAGTTCAGGACTCCCATTCCATTAATCTGTGTCTCCTTACGTCACAGTCTTGATCGCGGTACTATCATTTTGAAATAGGGACATGGGAGTCTTCTGTTCTTTTTCAAGATCTCTCCAGCTATTCCGAGTCCCTTGCTTTTCCATATACATTTCAGGACTAGTTTGTTGGTTTCTGCCAAGCAAGCAGCTGAGATTCTGCCATAAGGTGTTTGATGGTTGTTGAAGACTTTTAATAACTGACTTTAAAGCCAGACCATTTTCCTTCTGCTTCTGAATTCATTGTTACAGTGTGTTATGTAATGAAGCGTAAGATTAAAATCCAGCCCCACAGAGATGTGTAGTGGAAGATGGGTGAGTGTTTTAATGGCCTTTACAGAAAAATGGGTTTTCTTTGATTGTCAC